AAAAAAAATCAAATTCAAGTAATTATATATAGATAATAAATATGTAAAATTATACATATAACATGAACCTTGGTAACAAAAGTTCCTTTAGGAGCCAAAAGCTCCGTAGCAAGCTTAACCGAGTCAATCACTAGAGCATTCTGACTGGTAGCCTCCCTAGTCCACGCACCACCAACATTAGGCGAGCCGTTGTACAGTATCATGTGGAAAGCTTTCCATCCATTCTCTACCATGAATTTCTTAACCAACGCTCTACACTATCCTGGGTGATATCATCCTGTACGGAGATGGCGTCGCAGATTGGTCGAATTGGGTCGAGGTCGACGCTGATTGTTAAACTCCCGACGGGCATCTTCTCAACGGCCGAATGGAGAAAACCGAACATTGAATCAAGTTGAACCAACTTCCATGCGGTTCGAGATCCGTGGCCATGCTCTTTTTGCTAAGTGGTAGTACTTATCCAAACGATGTTTTCCATTTACCTTCCCCATTGGTGTGAAATTGGAAATGAAAATGAGTATATACTAACTGAAATTGAGGAAATACGTGTTAATGGCCTTTAACATCAACCGTATTTCAACTTTGGCCTTTGACCAATAAATAGTATTAAAAAATCCAAAACATCATTTTAAACAACTACAAGGCAACAATACCCCTCGCTCTTACACTCACTTTGAAAGGACGAAAAACAGCCAAAAAAAGAAAATATAGACCACACTACAGCTAGAAAGACCGAACACCACACCGACGGTTCCGATCACCACATCGACGTTACCGAGAAAGGTGTCGACAAATACAGTATAATATGGGATCTTAAAACCTACAAGACAACAACAGACATGACATCATTCAATCATTCATTGCATCTGCATTATAAGGTTAGGTACACTAGTTACTGAGGCTAAATCGAGTGCAAAACATATCACGCAAAATGCATTATTGTATACCATACCAGAATTTAAAACCCAACAAAGCATTCATTACAAATACATGATAGTACATTATAGAATCNGTTAGGTACACAAGATACTGAGGCTAAATCGAGTGCAAAACATATCACGCAAAATGCATTATTGTATACCATATCAGAATTAAAAACCCAACAAAGCATTGATTACCAATACATGATAGTACATTATAGAATCAACACTTGTTATCTTGAAACCATTCAGGGAACCAAAATTGTACTAAATGAACATTGAAAAGAAATTCACACAAAGTTCTTCCTAGGCACCCAAAATTTATTAGTGGAAAATGACACTGAACCCAAAAGTATAAGCAATTACGTAAACATAATGCAATGAAAATCATGTGAAGTTTAGTCACCCAAATTTTATTTGTGGAAAATGACACCGAACATAAAAATACTATCACTTGTGTACATATAATGCAATCTAAGCGACTTGTTTATTCGTGCGATAGAGTACAATCCCCATTTTTGGTGCACAGGATAAAGTTTAAAAAGAACTTAATTCAAATTTCCTCAACTTGAGTGCTTGTAACTGTTATTGTGTCATTTGAACAATTAACTTTTCTCAGTAATATTAAACCTTATGCCGCATCGAAGCCAATGTTAATTTTGCTAAAAAAAATCTAATTCAAGTAAATATATATAGATAATAAATATGTAAAATTATACATATAACATGAACCTTGTTGACAAAAGTTCCTTTGGGAGACAAAA